TGTAGTACACAGTAAACCTGACGGTATACAGTAGGTAGTAATGGAAAAGTTGTAGTAGGTTGTTGTTATACAATTGACCTTTAACCTTACTACCCAACCTATTACTACGTTATATATTACCCAGATTGCTTATGTTGTTGTAACTTACTTCCGGTTTCTATTACTTTGTTTGTTAGTTAAATACTTAGTTATCATTGATTATGTTTCACCGTCTTAACACAAGACAGAATAGGAACTAGACATTGTGTATTGTTATTGATACTACAGCCTGATGTAGCTGGCGGTGTTCCAGTGTTCCAGTAATGTTACAGCGCTGTATATATCCCTGTGACACAGAGGTAAACGTAGAGCTCTGTCAATTACGCCGACTGCAAAACAACACATCCATGTTTATTTAATGTGTTCTGCTGATATCAAAGTGAAACCATTTGATGGATTTATAGACACGAGCACCTAACGGCCGACGATGACATTTGTTTCTATCTATAGCAGTTGAGTTGTTTTACAATTCATAATTGTGGTAATATAATAAAGATCCATTAATGATGATTTGATTGATAATACACCACAGGGTTACATTGTTATTAGTTTGTCCATGTGATGAGTTGACCATTTGAGTTATGTCTCAACTGGTCACTGTTAAAAAAAGATTAATGTTCTTATTTTATTTAATTGATTTTGTTTTGACAAAATGAGCAATGAGGTTATTTTATATTGGGCTTGACTTTAAAAAGGAGCAATGATAAATTTTACAATAGATAATTGGATTATATTACGTATGGTCATTGCAAATATCTCACAATTAACCACTGGTATTATATTACAGAAGAACTTTGAAGGGAGCAAGGCAATATGCACACTTGATGATTGAAGACTTTCGATTCCTATTCCAGGCTTTCCTATTATTCGGGTTATTTTACAGTCAGTGTATTGAACCAATTTCACAATTGACCTTGGTAGTTCTTTTCTATTTTAGAAATGTTTGGTCGTAGATGATGGTAATTCAGTGAAATATTTGTGTGAGTAGCTCACTGAATGCTGTGGGTACCTTCCGAGGAGCAGTTGATGGAAGACAGTTGTTATGATTGATAACAAAAGTCAGAACCTTTGATGTCGGCGTAGAAGGATGTTTATACAGGTGATACCGGGTTCGGTGGGTTTGGTTCTCAGCCAGTGAGAAGGATTTTATTAGACATTTCTCTAACTTACTCGTTCTTTTTATGATATATAGGATTTCAAACATTTGATTGAACTGACGTTCGCTAGCTAGGGTTTCCATTTTTGATTGAGTTTCGTAATTGAAATCTGTCTTGTTGGCGGGCTGCCGGGACGGACCAATATATTTCACGAATGCATAGCGCAGATAAATTTTGCCCAATATATTTGTTGAAAATTCTGTCGAAATTTTATCCACAGTTTTCAAGTACGAGGCTAATGTACTAACGTATTCAAACAGGCGTAGCTAGATAATACAATATATATATTTATATAACATAAGTATTATGTAATATTTCTACCTTACATGTCAGTTTATAGCGGTAGTATCGAAACTTTTGATCTCATGTTTTTGCTGTCGTTTCTGATATTTGATCTTTATGGTTTTTTTTGTAGTAAGTTCGTATCTCTGACCATATGTTATGTAAGTCGCTTTCCACCATTGAATGTGTGTTACTATTGTCAAATCTTAATTTAACAAATGTAACAGCAGTCTGCTTCAATCCTTACCTTCTGCTTGAGCGATATCTATTTGAGCTATATCTGGGATTCCCTCTGATATTTGACCTGAAGTAATAATTCATATTTATATAATCATCAATCTTGTGTTACTGCTACCATCGTTAATGTTTGAACGTCTGTTGCAGCGATTCTGTTCACTGACCCGGCTACAGTAGCTGTTCTGGTGAAGGAGGAACAGACAAAGTTACAATTCCTATTACAAAAATACACCAAGAAAATGCAGAACGCCAACGTAGGTTCTTGTAGAAAATTTGTTTTATGAAAATATGAATTTTACGACTAAATATATATTAAAGGGACTTCATGTGGAAAAACGATATTCATGGAGTTAAATAGGTAATTCAAATTTTAGTGATCAATATAAATAAGTAAGACTGAGCAATAAATAAGATCAGCTGTCAGTCTGCTTTGGAAAATCAGAAAGAAAACAAAAGAATTTTTAATTTTTATTATACACTGTAAATAATGTGACCACGATCTCAGCTGACATTGAGGTCGTTTTTGTATTCATAGAGAGCGTTGTATTAGTTATAGATCCTATATCATGTTTTGTGTGTCACAGACAATGTATATTTTTATAGGCAGCGTTGTATACATCATAAACAACAATTCGTAAGTCCATTGCATAAAAAATGCTTCGCAGGAAACAACTAATGCCTAATACTTGATATACATTGTTCCGTATCATGTACACCATATAATTGGCTACACATGTGTTCGTACCTGCTTATGCTGCCATGGCCAAATGCAACTGTTTCATTTGTATATATTTACTTGTAGTATTTGTTTAACTCTACAATGTGTTGTCGTATCTAATGTCTCTTACGTTTTGCCATCAGATTGGCGGGAAGCTGCGCGAAGATGTTGGGAAGATAGGGGAGACAATTGTGTCTGTTGCACAGGAAGAAAACGCAAACTTAATAGTGATTGGTTCCCGGGGGCGAGGGAAGATCCGCCGGACAATCCTGGGGAGCGTCAGCGACTATTGTCTGCACCACGCCAATGTACCAGTTCTGATCTGCCGGATGGAAGTCTGATGTTTGTAAATAGATACGCGTACTTTACGTTATTGACGATGTACATGTCGACCTCTAAGGGGAATATTAGTGCGACTATTCCCCCCAAGGAATGCTGTGTTATTGAGAGGGTAATGAACGTGCTATCGACGTAGAACTACCGAACACTCCGTTTGGTGGTGTATTATCAATGGGACCATATTAGTACGCTATTATATAGTTCTACACGGGGGTCTACACAGTGTATTAACATACCATGGGTAGGTACGCGTGAACTCAGCACATTGGTATAAGTGTAGAAGACGTTGTCAAAAAGGCTCCGACTTTGTCGTTGTACATGCTATAATACCTCAATAGATTAAAAAATAATCGATTACAAATAAATTTGTTGAAAGAAAATATGCCTTTGAGTATTTCATTGACTATCTTAAAATCCGAGAAATCAAGTTAAGGAGAATAGAAAGGTCGAATCCTTTAATCCAGTGATACCATTACATGTTTACAAACATACATTTCAAGAAATTGAGGATTCAAAACATCAGATAATAAAGCGCTCAAATTACTCTTTGTTAGCCTCGTTGGTCTTAACATTTAGTAGTCATCGTAACCTGGATACCAACTGTGATACTTCAGTGTCTGCCGAGAGCAGTGACTTAGATCGTTGTTGGAGATCAATTTCTGCAGAATATATAATTTTATCTCAAACACGACCGTGAGAGACAGAAAATTCACCCAAGAAAGACTGACTACACGCTCGATGACGTCATGACGCACTTTTGCATACTTGACCTCTTAGTCCGCCAACTGACAACGGCGTTAGAAAAGTTTTGTTTGCCTTGATTATGTTAAATGGATATTTTTGTGCTTATTTTAAGAGATATTAACTGACATATTACAGTTGTTGAATATTAAATATAAAAAATGGTTAACTTTGTGGTTTAAATGGATTTCTGATTTTATGTGCAGGGTTCATGACCTTATGAAATTAATATATCTGTATTCATGCACGCCTGTCAGGTATGCACGCACTTGAACACGTGAAAAGTATTGACATTGACATGTTTATTTCGGGTATGGGAAAAAATTAAAAATGGGACCCATGTAAAACCGAATTAATCATCAGTACTCATAGATAACATCAAATTTGTTTTTAAAATGATCACGTCTGATAGCACTCCCCTAGAACAGCTTGGAGTACGGATATAGAGTGGAACAAAATACAGAGGTGATTATTTCATTTGAAAATATGTTCAATATATGGACAAGTCATGCTGCACAAGCAGCTGTCGACAATAAAGTGTTTGACACGTTGAAAACGAGGATTGGTACAGAATTTGTGACGTATTTACCTCATTAACATCGGTATAGCAATACGCAAAATAATTTTCATATAACAAGGTACACCTTTTACAGACAATAACACTAATCAGGTGCTTCCTTGTTTCTAGTGATTATTTAAAGTTAGAAGGTGCGGATGGACTATCGATACAATATCTTTTGTAGACAAAAATAGTCATTTGACCTTAAGCACCACTTCTGTACGAAATGACAATAACCATGGTGGAGTTAAAGTTACTTATTATTTTTTTTTTTGCATCGGCGTACTTAATGTTTGAAATATTGATTTATTATCTCGTACTGCTTGTGATTACACCTTAGTTGGCGGTAACTGTCATAGTTGGCGGTAACTGTCCGTCTCCTTAGTTGGCGGTTACTGTCTTAGTCGGCGGTAACTGTCCGTCTCCTATGTTGGCGGTAACTGTCCATCACCTTAGTTGGTGGTAACTGTCCGTCTCCTTAGTTGGCGGTAACTGTCCGTCTCCTTAGTTGGCGGTAACTCTCCTTCTCCTGAGTTGGCAGTTACTGTCCGTCTCCTTAGTTGGCGGTAACTGTCCGTCTCCTTAGTTGGCGGTAACTCTCTTTCTCCTGAGTTGGCGGTTACTGTCCGTCTCCTTAGTTGGCGGTAACTGTCTTAGTTGGAAGTAACTCTCCATCACCTTAGTTAACGGTTACTCACCGTCTCCTTAGTTGGCGGTTACTCTCCGTCTCCTTAGTTGGCGGTTACTCTCCGTCTTCTTAGTTGGCGGTAACTGTCCGTCTCCTTAGTTGGCGGTAACTCTCCGTCACCTTAGCTGGCGATAACTGTTGTCCGTCTCCTTAGTTGGCGGTGACTGTCCGTCTCCTTAGTTGGCGGTGACTATCCGTCACCTTAGTTGGCGGTACCTGTCCGTCTCCTTAGTTGGCGGTAACTGTCCATCTCCTTAGTTGGCGGTGACAGCCCGTCACCTTAGTTGGCGGTAACTGTCCGTCTCCTTAGTTGGTGGTGACTGTCCGTCTCCTCGTCACCTTAGTTGGCGGTAACTGTCCGTCTCGTTAGTTGGCGGTTACTCTCCGTCTCCTTAGTTGGAAGTAACTCTCCATCACCTTAGTTAGCGGTTACTCACCGTCTCCTTAGTTGGCGGTTACTCTCCGTCTCCGTAGTTGGCGGTAACTGTCCGTCTCCTTAGTTGGTGGTGACTATCCGTCACCTTAGTTGGCGGTTACTGTTGTCCGTCTCCTTAGTTGGTGGTGACTGGCCGTCTCCTTAGTTGTTTGTAACTGTCCGTCTCCTTAGTTGGTGGTAACTATCCGTCTCCTTAGTTGGCGGTTACTGATGTCCGTCTCCTTAGTTGGCGGTGACTGTCCGTCTCATGAGTTGGCGGTTACTGTCCGTCTCCTTAGTTGGCGGTTACTCTCCGTCTCCGTAGTTGGCGGTAACTGTCCGTCTCCTTAGTTGGCGATAACTGTTGTCCGCCTCCTTAGTTGGCGGTGACTGTCCGTCACCTTAGTTGGTGGTAACTTTCCGTCACCTTAGTTGGCGGTTACTGTCCGTCTCCTTAGTTGGCGGTTACTCTCCGTCTCCGTAGTTGGCGGTAACTGTCCGTCTCCTTAGTTGTCGGTAACTGTTGTCCGTCTCCTTATTTGGCGGTTACTGTTGTCCGTCTCCTTAGTTGGTGGTGACTGTCCGTCTCCTTAGTTGGTGGTGACTGTCCGGTCTTCTAAGTTGGCGGTGACTATCCCTCACCTTAGTTGGCGGTAACTGTCCGTCTACTTTGTTGACGGTTACTCTCCGTCTCCTTAGTTAGCGGTGACTGTCCGTCTCCTTAGTTGGCGGTACCTGTCCGTCTCCTTAGTTGGCGGTAACTGTCTTAGTTGGAAGTAACTCTCCATCACCTTAGTTAACGGTTACTCACCGTCTCCTTAGTTGGCGGTTACTCTCCGTCTCCGTAGTTGGCGGTAACTGTCCGTCTCCTTAGTTGACGGTTACTCTCCGTCTCCTTAGTTGACGGTTACTCTCCGTCTCCTTAGTTGACGGGTACTCTCCGTCTCCTTAGTTGACGGTTACTCTCCGTCTCCTTAGTTGACGGGTACTCTCCGTCTCCTTAGTTGACGGTTACTCTCCGTCTCCTTAGTTAGCGGTGACTATCCGTCACCTTAGTTGGCGGTACCTGTCCGTCTCCTTAGTTGGCGGTAACTGTCTTAGTTGGAAGTAACTCTCCATCACCTTAGTTAACGGTTACTCACCGTCTCCTTAGTTGGCGGTTACTCTCCGTCTCCGTAGTTGGCGGTAACTGTCCGTCTCCTTAGTTGACGGTTACTCTCCGTCTCCTTAGTTGACGGTTACTCTCCGTCTCCTTAGTTGACGGTTACTCTCCGTCTCCTTAGTTGACGGGTACTCTCCGTCTCCTTAGTTGACGGTTACTCTCCGTCTCCTTAGTTGACGGGTACTCTCCGTCTCCTTAGTTGACGGTTACTCTCCGTCTCCTTAGTTGACGGTTACTCTCCGTCTCCTTAGGTGACGGTTACTCTCCGTCTCCTTAGTTGGCGGTTACTCTCCGTCTCCGTAGTTGGCGGTAACTGTCCGTCTCCTTAGTTGGCGGTAACTGTTTGTCTCCTTAGTTGGCGGTGACTGTCCGTCTCATGAGTTGGCGGTTACTGTCCGTCTCCTTAGTTGGCGGTAACTGTCTTAGTTGGCGGTAACTCTCCATCGCCTTAGTTGGCGGTTTCTCTCCGTCTCCTTAGTTGGCGGTAACTGTCCGTCTGTAACTGTTTGTCTCCTTAGTTGGTGGTGACTGTCCGTCTCCTTAGTTGGTGGTGACTGTCCGGTCTTCTAAGTTGGCGGTGACTATCCCTCACCTTAGTCGGCGGTAACTGTTT